GAGGAGGAGGAGGAGGAGGAGGAGGGAGGGAGGAGGGTTCCTCCTTGTCTCTGAGCTCCAGAAGCATGCACACACACACACACACACCCACACTTTCTGGGGCCCGGAGGCCCTGTTTGGACCCGACAGGGGCACCCTGAGGGGCCCAAGAGGGCCCCTTTTCTGGAGCCCTCGCTGCCCCCCTCGCAGTTTTATCGCCCCCGCGTTACGCGACAGGGCGGAACCCAAACGGCATTTTTCGTTGTTTTCGTTTTGTTTTCGTTTTCCCTCGTTTTTTACTGTTTTCCCTAGCGTTTTTGTTTTTTTCGTTTTTGTTTTCGTTTTCCCTCATTTTGTCTTCAATCCACCTCCACCGCAGAACGACGTCGAAAAACGAAAGCGGCCCACGAAATCGCCCAAACACCGCTTAGGTCCAGCCCAGGCCTCCGAGGTGCGAGGCGTGCACGGTGTCGGGCCGAGTGGCGCCCGCGGTCCGTTTCCTCGACGGGGCGCCCCTGCGCCAGAGGAGCCAGTCGCGGATGAGCCCAGAATCCCAGCGTCCTCCCCGTCCCTCCTGCTCCATCCCCCCTCCTCCTCCTCCTCCTCCTCCTCCTCCTCCTCCTCCTCCTCCTCCTCCTCTTCCTCGTTCGCCTCCTTCCCCAAGAATCCCAGAATTCTCCTCCTCCTCCTCCTGAGCCTCCTCCTCCTCCTCCTCCTTCGCCCCCTTCTCTGCTCGTCTCTCCATGCCCTGGCTCCGTGCGCGCAACACGCGCGCGCATCTCCCTGAGGGGCCGCCACGGCAAGCCGGAGTCTCGGTTTGATGGCAACCAGAGGGGCAATATACCCAGGGGTGGACACAAAGGAAGAGCGAGTAGCGAATGGGAAGGGCGGGGGAGGACGGAGGGAGCGCGCCAGAACGCCCCTGAAGCAGTCATAATTCGGAGCACTAGCAAGGCATCGCGCGTGCAACGAAGGCGTCGGACAAAACGCATGTTGCGGTGCTCTCCCTTGCGCGTCTGTCGCCGAGAACGTGAATTTCATGGGCCGCGCACCTGGATCTATCTCGAGCGGCATCTTCATGCGAGTCTCGGAGAGAGGGCGAGGAAGATAAGGATCAGGAGGAGGAGGAGGATGAGGAGGAAGAGGATAATAAGTAGGAGTAGGAGGACCGTCCTCCTACTCCTCCTCATTATCCTTCCCCTCGTCCTCCGAAGACGGGGAGGAGGATATGGAGGAGAAACAGATCCTACGGTCGATCGTTTTTGCTTTTACTCGGAGGCAGAAATCTTCGTCTACCACTTTACTACTAAGTGCACTCGTCACCTTTATCTGAATGGTCGCCCGATCCGTGGGGAATCAGAGGAGGCCTGTAATGCCCGCACCTATGACTCTGGCTTGGAAAAGACATAACAATTCAAATGGCCGCAATATGACGAGACAGTGGCGCGATCAGAAGGAACTGAACTACGTTGGCGCCGTGCGCTAGTTTGGCGAAACGGAGGGGGTGAGGGAGAAGACGAGGAGCAAACATTGGCCTGCTCAACAGGCAAGAGGCGTGTTATGATCTCGGGTCACAGGTGGATTGTATATCTAGTTCTCGCGCGTGTGGCGGCCCCTGTGGTCCCTGGGCAAAAAACACGCCGGGCCGACCCTGGGCAACACCCAGGCGGCCAGTGTCACGAATGCCAGAACTCCTGGGGGCGGTCTTCTCAGCTTCCCAGATCGTTCTTGGAGCGCCCCAAAGGACCCCAAAGAAGCTTCAAGAGAGCCCATGAGTCGGGATCAATATGTGGCAAGCCT